CTCTCGCTCTTGTACAACGGGCTCGGAGAATCGACCAGCCTCTGCCACAGGACCAGCTCGGGAGCGGCGAAAAGGGGGGCGTCCAAGAGGGGGGGCGCAAATCATGGCCGGCGGCACGTGCGCGGCCCAACTGGGGGCAGGGACGTATTGTGGTAAAAGGAGGCGCCGTCAAATCTGGGGAGATATCACGGCTCCCGGCCATGATGTCCAACCCCCCCAGTCATCACCCCCCTCTTGGCCGCCCCGGATACAACGGGCTCAGAAAATCGACCAGCTGAGGGGAAACGCTAGGGGGGACTGGCATAAATGGGGGACGCATCGACCTGGAATCGGCGATGCATCGCCGATAGATCGGCGAAAGGCTCCCGATAATGAATCCGCACCTTCCCGGGCAGGTTGGGGCTGTCGGGCCCCTACCGTCAATCAATGGCCGCTTGGGGGTCGATGCATCCCCCCTATGCCTATCCCACCATATCGTTGCCCCCGACCAGCCTCTGCCGCGGGACTGGCCATGCATTCCCCGTCGGGCGGCCGGTCCGTCCCTCGACGGACCGACGCCATCCGGCTGGGCAGACGGCGCGCAGGGGCGGCCGAAGACCGAGCGAGGGGCAAGGAGGGAGGAGGAAGGAGGTAGGAGGGAGGAGAAGGGAGGAGGGAACGGAGGAGGAGGAGGAGGAGGAGGAGGAGGAGGAGGAGGAGGAAGAAGAGGAGTAGAGAGAGAGGAGGGAGGAGGAGGAGGAGGAGGAGGAGGGGAGGAGGAGGAGGAGGAGGAGGAGGAGGAGAAGAGGAGGAGGAGGAGAGGAGGAGGAGGAGGAGGAGGAGAGGAGGAGGAGGAGGAGGAGGAGGAGGAGAGGAGAGGGAGGAGGAAAGGGAGGAGGAGAAGGAGGAGGAGGAGGAGGAAGAGGAGGAGGAGGAGCAGAGGAGAGGAGGAGGAGAGGAGGAGGAGGAGGAGGAGGAGGAGAAGGAGGAGAGGAAGGGGAAGGAGGTGGAGGGGGGGGAGGGGAGGAGGACGGAGGGAGGAGGAGGAGAGGGAGGAGGGAGGAGGAGGAGGAGGAGAGGAGAGGAGGAGGAGGAGGAGGAGGAGGAGGAGGAGGAGGAGGAGGATGAGGGAGGAGGGAGGAGGAGGAGGGAGGGGAAGGAGGAGGAGGAGAAGGAGGAGGAGGAGCAGGAGGTGGGGGGGAGGAGGAGAGGAGGAGGAGGAGGAGGAGGAGGAGGAGGAGGAGGAGGAGGAGGAGGAGGAGGAGGAGGAGGGAGGAGGAGGAGGAGGAGGAGGAGGAGGAGGAGGAGGAGGAGGAGGAGAAGGAGAAGGACGAGAGAGGGAGGAGGAGAGGAGGAGGAGGAGGAAGGAGGAGGGGAGGAGGAGGAGGGGGGGAGGGGGGGGAGGGGAGGGGGAGGGGGAGGGGGAGGGGGAGGAGGGGAGGGGGAAGGGGGAGGGGAGGGGGAGGGGAGGAGGAGGAGCAGCTCCAGCCAGAGGAGATCCGACGATGCCAGGGGCCGAAAAGCGGCGCGTTGGGCCGGCGCCGGCGGGTGCTCTTCGGTTGGCGGCGCACGGGAGGGCGTTTGGGCCGATGGGGGTGGACTTCGAATAATCCTTCTGTCAGAAGGCTGCAGCTCCGTCGCACTTAAGGGCCCCCTGCTTTCTAGGAGCGACCAGCCTCGAGCTTGTCCCATATCCCCGAGGCTGGGAAGCCCGCAGGCGATCGACAATCTTGGGGGTGCGTCCTCAGAAACTGAGGGAACCCGTAAGATCGGCAGCGAGACAAGGCGGTGCCAACTTTCGGGATAGACATGATCTTGCCATCGCTTGGAGATGTCCATTCCCCGTGCATGGTTTCGTGCATGTTTCGTTGTTTGCTTTTTTTTGCGCCAGATGCTTTAGGGTGCTCCTCCGTGGCCGTCGCCGAGGAAAAAAGATGCACACACCCGAGCGATGCCAAGTACCAGAATCATGTTCCAGGCTGGCAGCAGAAGGCCGCCTCCCTGGAGCGCCGCCGAAGCGCCGCAGCGCGCGCACACCACGAGCCCCACCCCTAACCCTGTGGGAGGGGACCTACGTTGGGAGGGCCAGCAAACATTAGGGACACAGGGTTTTTTTTCTCCGCGTATGGCGAGCCAAACCGCCCAGATTGACTGTCCCTAATGCAAAGACGTGGACCTAAGTGAGGCCACGTCTTCACCGTGCCATAGGTCAGGCAACCATATATGTGAGCCATACACCCCTGCACACCAGATTCTCTGAAGCGCCGGCTGGGGCTCAGGATTCGAAGCAGGCCTGCAGCCGGTAGGGCCCAAACGCGTCGATTGGCTCCGCAGGGGTTCGAGTTCACAAGTGGTCCCAGACCTGCTGACTGACGAGCGCCCTCGGACAACGTACCCACTCGCCGCGCGCGCTGAAGGCGCACCTGCCGGCACGCCTGGCAACGCGCAGCCCGCTCTCGCGTGAAACGCGCGAGTGCGTAACCTTCGGGGGCTGACAGAACAAGTGCCCTTTGGCGAAAGCTGCCACGGGCACTTCGCGTGCGCACGGCCAACACATTCCGAGCGCATCCCAGCGGGGTAGCTAATCGACGTCCAAAAACAACCAAAGGTACCCGGCGAAACGCGCGTCGATTAGCAAAATCGACCAGGGACTGCACCGGCACACTCGAACGCCAACGTCGAGTGAACCATGCAAATACCGCTAGCCCTTTGGGCGTGAGTGGTTTAGCGGATTTCCTTTTTTCAAGTTTCCATCTTCCCCTTCAGGGAGGGGCTCCTTGCCCCCATCCCCCTGGGCCTGGAGGGGAGAGGCCGCGACCCATTGGAGCGCCCAAGATGGCCCAAAATGGCCCAACATGGCTGCAAGAGGGCTCAGAGAGCACAAGATGGTTTCCGAGATGGCTCAAGATAGCGGAAGATCGCTTAAGATGGCTTCCAATGTGCCCCAGCTAGCTCCAGGACCGCCCCAAGACGACTCCATCCAAGTGGCCTCGAACACCGCCAAGAGAACGCCCAAGAGGCCCGAATCCTTCCAAAACCTCAAGAAACTCCAAATTGTCAGCTTTCTCGCCGCTTCGCTTCCGATGGCCTCCCGAGGCCACAGGATTGCTCCACGATGGCCGGAGACCGAGCGAGGAGGAGCGGGAAGAAGGAGGGAGAGGAGGAGCGAGGAGGAAGAGCGAGAAGGAGGACCAGTGTAAACCCAAGAGGCATCAGCGATATTGGAATGAACCCTCCCTCCAAGCTCCCGCTTCATAGGCCCCTACAACGGTTCATGTTTACTGAGGGAACTGCCTCGTTGGAAAACAGCTGTTTGAAGACCCTGAAGCATGCCAAAACATTGTCTCGGGATTCCAACGCCACGAATCAACCTGACTGTTGCGTCTTGACGATCCTGAATCGCGCAAGAACGCCATTCCTGGGACTTGAACACTGCGAATAAACATAGCCTGTGCACCCTCATAAGCCTGAATCCTTCCAAAACGCCATTATTGGTTCGCTGATCATGGGATAACGTGGAACTCTTGCAAATGCTTAAGGCGAGTGTGGCTGGCGCTAGGGCGAGAGACATCTTTTGAAAAGGAAGCGCCCTCAACCCGTGAAACCTTGCAATTGTTTCAAACGAGTGCGCGCGGCGCTAAGGCGAGAGCAACATTCTGAAAACGACTCGCCCTCAATCCGCGAAACTCTTGCAATCTCTGGAAGCCAATTTGCGCGGCACTGAAGCGAGAACCACATGTTGAAAACCACTCGCCCTCAGTCCGTGAAACTATTCCAACGGTTAAAACAAATGTGCGCGGCGCAACAGCGAGAGCCACATTTTGAAAAGGAACCGCCCTCGATCCGTGAAACTCTTGCTATTGTTTGTAAACGAATGAGCGCGGCGCTAGGGCGAGAGCCACATTTTGAAAACGACTCGCCCTCAATCCGTGAAACCCTTGTAGTTGTTTAAAAACAAATGTTCGCGACGAGAGCCACATTTTGAAAGCGACCCGCCCTCCATCTGCGAAGCTGTTGCCAACGTTTTAGCTTCAGAGTCATACATGGTGAGGAAGTCTCAGGCGAAAAGCCCAGCCCGCCCTCAAAACCAGCCTCGGGATGCGACAGGGAGAAGTTATGTATAAGACGAAGGAACGGAGGAGCAGGAGGAGGAGGAGGAGGAGGAGGAGGAGGAGGAGCGAGGAGGAGGAGGAGGAGGAGGAGGAGGAGGAGGAGGAGGAGGAGGAGCGAGGAGGAGGAGGAGGAGGAGGAGGAGGAGGAGGAGGAGGAGGAGCGAGGAGGAGAAGGAGGAGGAGGAGGAGGAGGAGGAGGAGGAGGAGGAGGAGGAGGAGGAGGAGGAGGAGGAGGAGGAGCGAGGAGGAGGAGCGAGGAGGAGGACCCGGGGGCCGGCTGCCGCGGAGGCCTCTGCGCGCTCTCCTGTAAAGCGCAGAGGCAGGCGCCCGTGCGGCAGCCAGGGGGGGCCTGTGCCCCCCCGGCCTGGCGGGGCGCGCGTGGGAGCGGAAGGCGGCTCTTGAGCAGGGGCCGACTTTCCCGGCAGTCCTTGGATGCTCGTTCGGGGGACCTTCCTGGAGCCACTCGCTCCACTCGTGCGTCGACGCTGCGTCGAACGTCAGTCGATGTGGGTCGACCCTGAGTCGAACCTGAGTCGACCCTGAGTCGACCCTGAGTCGAACTTGAGTCGAACTTGAGTCGAACTTGAGTCGAATTTGAGTCGAACTGGGGTCGAACAGATCCGTTAGGTGGGCTCCAGGAAGGTCCCCGAAACGAGCATCGAACATTCCTATGGGCCCACCACGGAATGTTCTTAGAACCCAAAAAAGTTCCAAGAACAGAAACAAATGTTGTGGAACAAAAGCCCAATGTGTTCAGACAGGACAGTCCCGGCCAGAAATGGTCCGAGAACATGTCGTGGAAACCACAGAAGGTTCTTAGAGCATTCTTTGGTAGACCGATAGGCGAGCCAGGACGTTTCGCCACTGCTTGAGGTTCAGGAGAGGGCCCTGGCATCTTCGGCGGCGCACCTGGTGCAGAAGCTCCACGGGCCGTCCCAGTCCGTGCCGCCGTGCAGCGCGTCCGTCCAGGAGCACCACGGGGCCCTGATCCGCCCGCCGGCGCCCTGCAGCGGCTGGTGCGTGCCGGGCACTTGCTGCTTCTGCGTGCCAGAAGGCAACTCTTGGATGGCCTTTCGCTATGAACGATCCAGGGCTATCAAGCCAGATAAGGAGCAGGCCAGCTTAAGCCCAAGAAGAAGCTGGACTCGGCGACATTGATTCGGATCAAGCCGGGCTGAACAAGATGATGACCGTCCTCATCCCGCTCGGCCCGGCCTAAACAGATCAGGCGGACGACGCATGGAACTGGTTCTTGACCAAAGGCGCACCAGCGACAGCACAAAAACGAATAAGACCGCTGGAAAAATACATGTGTTGCCACATATATAGGGGAACAAAAAGTGGCATCAACATAAAAACTCGGAGGTCCGCGCGGATTTCTCGGACCTGCGCTGGACCCCCTCCCTGGCGCGCGGAGCGCGCCAGGGGCGGCGCCGGAGGCGCCGCCGGGGGGCCCCAGCGCCGATCCGAGAAATCCGCGCGGACCTCCGAGTTTTGATATTTATGCCACTTCTTGTTCCCCTAATCTGGGAGACCGGACCTCGCGGATCGCGCCCCGCGATGCGCGAGGATCCTCGCGCCCCGGCGCTGCCCCCTCTGGAGAAGGGCAACCGCTCCGGCGGCCCCCGGGCCAGGCCACGACGCGCGGGGCCCGAGCGTCGTCGGGCCCCCCGCGGGTGTGTCCTGGCCGCCTCCCGCGGAGGAAGGCGGCGCCCCCCCCCACGGGCGCCTCGACGCCGATGTGCGCCCCCCCGTATGGCAGGAGACGCGAGGCGGGGATTTGTCCCGGGGCCGCCCGCGCGTGGCTGCCGTACACGCCGGTCGTCGAAAGCAGGTATTTTGCGACATCCCTCCTCCTCCTCCTCCTCCTCCTCCTCCTCCTCCTCCTCCTCCTCCTCCTCCTCCTCCTCCTCCTCCACCGCCTGGGAACAAACGCCCTGGCGCCCCAGCAGGCGGCGGATACGGATACATTTTTCTTTTGGGCCCCTGGGGGCCGAAGATGTTCGTATCCACCGCCTGCCGAGGCTCCGAAAACTGACCCTCCAGGCGGTGGTCGTGCATATAGATTCCCGCCGCGGAGGAGGCCCCGTGGCCTCTGCCCTCCCCACCGGGGGGGCCGTGGCGCCAGAAGCCGAGGGGCCAGGCAGGAGGCTCCTCGGCAAGCCTCCGCGAGTGCACCAGGCTGCCGCCCGTACGCCGCAGGAGATGCAGCATCAGGTCGGGCCTGTCACCCTACACGCGGATTTTGGGCGCAGATTCAAAAATACCTCCAACAAAAATATATTCAGAAATAGCCATCGTCCCCAGACTATTTCTTATACTGTTTTCTTGAACGTTCCTCCTTCAGAGGGACAGGGCCCATTTCAATGCGGCAGCACGGCCGTGAGAGAGCGAGAGAGAGAGAGAGACGACGACGACGACGACGACGACGACGACGACGACGACGACGACGACGACGACGAAAACAAAACAAGGCAGGCGGGCCAGGCTCCAGGGCACCTGCCCCCCTCCCCCGAGAGGCGCCCCGCCGCCCCCCCCCGGGGCCACCCCCGTCGTCCCGCGACCGCCCGGCCGAGAGAGCGGCGGCGGGCGCGCGGCCAGCGCAGGCCGATGTCCGAGAATCCGAGCGGCTTCTCCTGCGAGGCGGGGATGCCGTAGGGGCCCGACCACAAGAAGCCTTCCACAAGAAGCCCAACCCTGAGACCCCAGAACGTCCATCAATGATTTCTGGTGCGGGAACGTCACGCGTTCCAGAGCAAAACCATCGAAACCCACGAAACGCAGGGCACCCTCGAGGCAAGCAGGATGTTTCTTGGCATGGGCCTCCACTGTAGATCCATATCCACTGCCTGTGGAACCGACGTTCTGGGACCCTAGCGGGCGGTGGATATATGGACAGATTTGGCCTCCCCAGGGCCCGAGTATATCCATGCCCACCGCCCGCCGACGTCCCCGAAGGTTGACCCCCCAGGCGGTGGTTATGAATGAATTCCTGCCTCGGGTATCCTCCTCGGCGACGCAGCCCCTGAACTCGCCACCGTCGTACGTGAACTCTGCGGCGCAGTGCTCTGGCGCCCGGAACCCCGGATGGCCCTCGTGGGCGCCGATGCACGGCTTGTCGCCGTTCAGCTCCCCGTCAACGAACTCCAAGAGGGAGCCAGCACATGCGAACAGGCTCTGGGTACTGTCCTCGATGGCCGTGCAGAATCTACTGATCAGCGACGGGTCATCCTCGGACGGGAGCGTGTCCTCGTCCCCAGGCAGCATCTGCTGAAGAGCAGGGTAGAAGTCCGTCACGCAGTCCTCTTCGGGCGGCGTGTCAGCCACGATGGGCCACTTGCACGGCCTGAGCACCTGGGTCGCGGTCGTCAGCAGAAACTCGCACGCATACATGCTGTCCGAGACGCCCACGTCTCTTTCCAGCCTGGCATCCTTCAGGTAGTCCACCACGCCTCCTGGCAGCACGCCGATGAGCCCTTTTGTTCGCGGGTCGTACGCTCGCAGCACGTGCTTACCGCGGGAGTTTTTCACCCGAGCATCCTCCTCCGGCGACCGCCTGAAGGTCGTGATCTCCAGAGCGTAATCGATCGCGTGATGTTCCTTCAGCGTCCGCAGGTCCTCGACGAGGCGGATGATCAGCTTCGCCCAGTGCTCCTGAGAGATCCCGACGCCCGCGAAACCGCCGCTGCTCGCGGGGTGGTCTTCCAACCACCCCGCGTTCCGCGGGTCGTTCGGCAGGCCCACGATGTCATAGCTCTTCATCTCCATGCCCTCCGAGCCCACACTGATCCGCGTAGAGGGCATCACCGCCCAGACCTCGTCCCCCGGGACGCGGCTGTCGTAGACCGACAGCAGGGGCACGAGAAGGCTGTGCTCGACCGGGGCCTCCCGCTGCCCACGCGCGTACGCCTGCTCGCTCGCTGCCAGGGAGCGGAAGACCAGGTCGATCTTCAGGGGGCCCTGGGCCTTCAGCAGGAACACCCTGCCGCCGCCCCGCCCACTCGGCAGTCCCGACGCGGAGAGCTCGCCCCCGCTCGCCCTGCAGAGCTCGTGCAACTGCTTGAGGGTCTCCGTCGTCGTGTCGTCCGCAACGGCGTCCGCCACTGCGTGACCCGAGCACGCATGACGTACAGGCGCGAGCAGCACGTAGGACGTAGGAGGGATGAAGGTCCTGCGGGCCAGGAACGCCGATTGGCCGGGACTCCAGGGCACTCCTGGGCGCCCCTGGGGTGTGGCGCGCGAGCCGCCCGGAAGGAAAACACGTCCACAAAGAAATAACATGTTCGACAAGTGGGGCTTCAGAGGGTGCCCCAGGCAGGATGCGCAGGACCTTTCCCGCCCATAGCGACCCCGAGGTTCTCCGAGAGGCCCCCAAGAAGCCCCACAGACGCGCCCCACAGACCCTCCAAGTGGCCCAGACACGGTGGCGGATTGGGCCGCAGGCCACCAGATCCGCCGCCCCCTGCTTGCAGGGGTGCACGGCGTGCTGGACGTTTCAGGTTTTGGTTTTGGTTCTTTTTCTAAAAGAACTCCCCAATGGGCTTCGGCCCGTCCCGCCGGCCACCCGTAATTTTCCCAAAATCCGTCTGTCAATGCCTTTGTTGCCCCAACTTGGCCCAAGATGGCCTCCAAGACGGCCAAGATGGCCCAAGATGGCCTCCAAGATGCCTCCCAGACGGCCAAGATGGCCTCCAAGACGGGTAAGATGGCTCCAAGATGCCTCCAAGACGGCCCAAGATGCCCTCCAAGACGGCCAAGATGGCCCCAAGATGCCTCCAAGATGGCCCAAGAGGCCTCCAAGACGTTCTCCAGGAGAGCCCGAAGAGGCCAAAATCATTGGTTTTCCTTAGGTTTTTGAAGGTTTTTTGCGTTTTCTTCTTTTCGGCCTTCCGACGGCCCAAGAGGCCCCCAAGATCGCCCAAGAGGCCTCCAAGAAGGCCCTATGACGGCCCAAGGGCCCCCCAAGACGGCCCCAAGAGCGCCCCAAGACGGCCCAAGAGGCCTCCAAGACGCCCAACATGGCCTCCAAGACGGCCCTGAAGCGCCCCAAGAGGGCCCCAAGACGGCCCAGAGAGGCCCCCAAGACGGCTCCAGACGGCGTCAGACGGACCAGGAACGCCCTAAGACGGCCAAAGAGACCCCCAGGAAGCCCCCAAAGGCCCCCAAGAGGCCCAAGGAGGCCCCCAAGATGCCTCCAAGAGGCCTCGAAGAGGCCCCCAAGAAGCCCCCAACAGACCCCAAGGGTGCCCCAAGAGACTCCTAACAACCCTCATCCTCCTACTCTATTTCTTCCTCTTCCTCTTCCTGTTCATAATCATTCTCTCCCATGTGTTCCCCGAAAGCTTTCCAAACCGACTCGGGGAACTCATGGTCCGATAGCTTGGCCAAGCTCTAGTCCAACTTTCGGCCACATCGGCGTTTCCAAAAAGGCAGGGGGCGGCGGTGATTCGCCGTAGGCGTCTTCGATAAGGGCTCCTCAACTCATCCGGGTCGACGCTGTTGCTGCTGCACCAGGCGCTGACAGGTGACCCTCCTGGCGGCGGCCTGTCGGGCGGCGCCGGCGTGCTCTTCTCGTCCGTCGGCGGCAGGTCTGGAGGAGCTGGCGTGCTCTGCGGGCACACCACGCAATAGCTCCAAGGCCCGTCCCACTCGGGATTCGGATCGAGCTCCGCCTCCCAGGCGCACCACGGGGCTCTGACGTCGTCGAACAAGGAGACGTCCGCCACGCAGCCCGCATAGCTCTGCCCGGCGTACTTCGTGCTCTGCACGCAGTGCTCTGGGAGCCGCACACCGTTCTCGCACGGCATGTCGCCGTCCAGCTTCCCGACGACGTACGACAGGAGCTCCGCCTCGAATCGCAGGAGGCTGCCCTCCTCCTGGTCGACCAGCCGGCAAATCTCGCTCAGCGCGTGCTGGTCGGTGGCGGGTGGCACCTTCCGCGCGCGACGGGCCGACCGAACAGCCGTGCCCTCGCGGTCTGGGGCCCCGCGGCGCGATCCCGGAGACGTATACGCTCCAGGCCCGAGGCATGCGCGCCAGGGCGGCCGCTGCGGCCACGGGGCCACGGCCGAGGAGGCCAGACCGCGAGGCCGTGAACTCGGGGGTGGACAGAACCCCCAACAGTGACACGTCGAGTAGTGAATTGTCCGTTTGCGGTTCTCGAGAGGGAGCCGTGGCCGATATTTTCCAGGCTTGCGCCCGCCAGGTTTGGGCCCGAGGGCGTTTTCGCCAAACCACGCTTTACTAAAGGGAGGCCTGTCCATCCCCGATGGATACGGATGCGCTTCCCGCCTGCGAACCTCGCCCCTGCCGAGGATGGCCTCGAAGACGGGGGTGAAGTCCCTGACGCACTGCTCCTCCTGGGGATTCGCCACGCTGCGCGACCACCTGCACGGCGTCAGCGCCTGCGTGGTGACGAAGAGGAAGAGGCGGCACGCGTAGACGGAATCCGACGAGCCCTCCGAGTCCGCGCCGTCGTGGCTCCCCTTGTCCAGGTAGTCCGTCACGCCGCCGAGGAGAACGCCGACGTTCTTGTTGTCGTCCCAGCCGTGTGCCCTCCAGACGTGCTTGCCGCGCGAGTTCTTCGTATCGTAAAGAGGCTCGTCGAAGACAGTCACCCCCATCTCGTACATGCTCGACTTCGCATCCTTGAGCGACTCCATATCCTGAGACAGCCGGATGGTAAGCTTTTCCCAGTGCTCCACGGATATGCTGAGGCCACTCGGCCAGTCGTTGGTCCAAGCGAAGTTCGTGAAACCCTTGATGTGGTAGTTGTCACCTGGTGGCGGGTTGTCCAAGAACGAGTTGGGCTCGACGCCCCACAGCATTCCATACGCCTCGAACGTCGTCAGCATGGGAACCAGGTAGCTCGCGCGCGTGGGAGGCATGGAGGCGAAGTTCTTCTCCCAGTCGTTCTTCTCCGAGGGGGTGATCTCCTTGAAGACGAGACCGTGGTCCAAGGACCCCTGGGCCTTCAGCAGAAACACCTTGCCCCCCACCGGGGTGCCCGGCAACAGCTCGGCGTCGAGGTCGTGGCCAGACTCGCACAGCTCCTGGACCGAGCCCAGGATCCCCTTCGCCTCGTGGGCGCTGCCTGGCGACTCCGGCGTGCCGTCCCCGAGCCTGCCCGACTCGCAGAACTTCCTCGCGAGGGTCCTGCCGTCCAGGTCCTCGCACACGAGCCCGACGTCGGGGCGCGGGTCTCTGCTGCAAGTCCGGCCCGTCTGGCAGAGGTGCTCGCCGCACTGGCACGGGTGCACCACGGCCTCCACGTCGGCCGTCTCGTCGCACCTGCCGAAGCACCTCGTGCAGTAGCTCCAGGGGCCGTCCCAGCCAGAGTTCTCGGGCAGCTCGTGCTCCCAGGAGCACCACGGCGCCAGCACCTCCGAGTACTCGAACTGGGTGCGGGCGCACTGCGTGTACTCCTCGCCCTTGTACGTCCACTTGTCGATGCAGTGCTCTGGCGCGCGAAAGCCGTTTACGCACGGCCTGTCATTGTCGAGCTTCTCGTCGACGTGCATGATAAGGCCGGCCGCGATTCTCTTGAGGTCGGCTGGTCCGCCGTCGAACCTCTCGCAGATCTGCGGCAAGAACGTGCTTCCCGCCGACGTCTCCTCCGACTTGAAGATGCCGTGGAAGGCCTCAGTCCAATCCTTGACGCAGCTCTTCGGTTTCGAGTCCGACTTGGGCCATTTGCACGGCGCCAGCATATGCGTGGAGATGAAGAGCAGGAGCCTGCAGGCGTACACGCCCGGCGACTCGACGAGCTCGCTGCCGATGTCCGTGCCGACCACGCGACCTTCGAGGCGTGCGATCTCAGCGGTCTGGAGATAGTCGACGATCCCTCCGAAGAGCACGACCTCGAGATCCTGGGTCTCGAAGTTGAAGGCCTGCCAGGCCCGCTTCCCGAGCGGGTTCTGCGCATCGGGGTCGGGCTGGACGTCCTCGAAGACGGACACCAGCATGGAGTAGCCGACGGAGCCCGTGCTCCGGAGCAGATCCAGGTCCTCAGCTAGCTGGGTCACCAGCTTGTCCCAGTGCTCCTGCGCTACCCCCACACTGGCTGTCTTGCCGTCCTTCGACACGAAGTGGGCAACCCAGTTCGCATCGCCGTAGACGCCAGCGGCCCCACCGCTGCGGAGGTAGCGAAAGGCAGGGACGCCCTTGATCTCGTACTTCCTGCAAAAGGTAGGAATGTACAGGGTCTTATACATCTCCAACGTCGCAACGTCAAGGTACACGCTGGCTGAGATACCCCAGGTCTTGTTGAACGCCTGCCACGCTGCGCCGAGGGGCACCAAGTAGCTGGCACGCCTTATGGGGGAACCTGCGAACCTCTCCATCCAGAACTCCACAGACTTCCGGTGCAGAGACTCGATGGTGACGCCATGCTTCAAGTTCTCCATAGCCTTCAGCTCAAAGCCCAGCCCGGAGCTGGCGTTGACGGGCTCGAAGCGGAGTGGCGGGATGCTGCTCGCCCGTTGTCGCTTGCAGAGCACAGCCAGCTGCTGCATAATGGCGGCCATGTCGTCGCCCAGGTGGTCCACGGTGAGCTGCACCCCCCTGTCGCAGAGGGTCTTCGCGATGCGGCTGCCGGCGTCGAGGCCCTGCTTCTCTTCCGCACGGGCGAGCTCGGACTCCCCGACCGCGGTGGCGTCGATCACCGCAGCCCTGTAGTCCTCCAGCACCTGGGGCCCGAACGGGTCGTACTCCTGACGGGGGGACGAGAAGGCACCGATACCGCCTGCTCCACGGACCTCTCCTGGAGTGCGCTCTGGCCAGGCCTCCGAGGCGCATTCGGCCGCGGCGACGAGGGCCGCGCAGCGAGAGAGTGGCGTCTGCTCCTCCTCGGGGCTCCTCCCAGCTGGGGCACCTCATCGACTGCACAGGCTCGGGCCGCACTTGCAGGGAGCACTCGCCGCTGCCGAGCGCCATCACCGGGACCATGGCGGCCACGGACATGGCAAAACTGCCCGGGTCCACGTATTGGCCTGGGCGGTCTGCCTGCGGCCACATCGGGCCGGCCCTGCCCTCCACGGACACCACGTAGCCCCTCCGCCTGAGCAGCCGGACCCGCTCCTCGCACTCCCCGTACGTGGAGCAGGTGCTGCGGATGGCGACGGCCTTCCTGCAGGACGGGCGGGTGGCCTCCTCGAGCAGCCGCTCCTCCTTCGGGCGTGGGCAGAACTGGGTCTCGTGGGGCCTGGTTCAGGGATGTGTGCTGGGGGACGCCCCCCGCCCCGTTCCACCGACCGGAACTGCCGTCACCCGAAAAACCAACAGCTACGGCAGACCTGGCGTAGTGATTCTGGCCAATTTGGGGGCCTACCACTAATCGGGTCCCCTTACCTGGGGTCCTGGCTATCCAGACATCCGACGTCTCGATTTTTCGAGACACAGGCCCCCGACCTCCCGACCACTTCCCCAGGACCGGTTTTTCATCCCGAGTCGTTTTTTACGGCCCCAGGGATCGGCGAGGGTCCCGAGAGGCCAAAAACTGCGAAAGACCTCCGCCTCGATGTTCTCGAGACGCCCGATGTCTCGGTGTGCCCGACTCCTGCTCGGCCGCGGCAGCGGTCACCGCCTCCCAGCCGCTCCGGGACACGCAGCCGAGCCGCTGGCCGAAGCGCACGAGCTCCTGGTAGCCTCGGTGGTGCGCCATCCAGAGGGTCGGCGGCGCGCCCCGGGGGCGGAGGCAGAGGGGGCCAGCCTTCTCGCAGCAGGCCGCGGGGCCTCTCAGAAGCCCTCGCGCCCTCCTCCTCCTCCTCCTCCTCCTCCTCCTCCTCCTCCTCCTCGTCATCATCATCATCATCATCATCATCATCATCATCATC